CTACTACTAGCTACACTATATCCCTAGACTCATTCCTTCACAACTTTATTCCAGCTTTCCTAACTATGGGAAGGAAGCTCCTTACCTCTTCAATACTCCATCTCTCAGGCTGACTGGAGTAAGCACTCTCCAGCCTCCCCTCCCCTCCCCTGTTAACCAGGAGTCTGCTTAGGGATTTGGTCCCCTAAAGTACAGAGTGATGCACTCACTCAGAGATTCCTCCCAGCGATTCCTAATAACACTCCCCAGCCTGTCTACGTGGGAATATCTGTGGATGCAAACTTCAGTTACTAGCTCTTAAATTATTTCTAATATTTCTAATAATATATAATATTTTTAATAATAAAAACATTTCTAATATTTTTAATAACAATGAAATGCCTGTACGTGCACAAAGCAATGTAGGGGCTGGGGGAAAGGAAACAATCATTTGTTGAATGTCTGCAAAGTACCAAGGGCACTTTACCTTATTGGATTCTCACCAAAAAAAGAAAAAAACTAACCGGGTGCCGGTGGCTCACAACTGTAACCCTAACTACTCAGGAGACTGAGGTCTGAGGATCACGGTTCCAAGTCAGCCTGGACAGGAAAGTCCATGACATTCATTTCCAATTAACCACTAGAAAAAAACGGAAAAAGAGCTGTGACTCAAAGTGGTAGAGCGCTAGTCTGGAAACAAAACCACTCAGGGACAGTGCCCAGGCTCTGAGTTCAAGCCCCATGACCGATAAAAACTAATTAAGAAGACAACAAACTAGCTCAGTGACTTTAAAGTTGCATTTAACTATACAACTGTTTATGAAGTGGGTGCTGAATTATCTGGAAAAGAATATTAACTCTCCAGTTATTGCCACTGGAATTGTTTTGCCCTAGGACCCAACTGATTTAAAATAACAGATCCTTTTGACTTTAAAGTTGCATTTAACTATACAATTGTTTATGAAGTGGGTGCTGAATTATCTGGAAAAGAATATTAACTTATTGCCAGTTATTGCCACTAGAATTGTTTTGCCCTAGGACCCAACTGATGTAAAATAACAGATCCTTTTCTCCCTCACGCTCTCAGGACCTTCTCAGATCCCTGTGCTAGACTTAGGATTTACAAAAGTAGCAGAAGGGAAGAACTGATTTACTCTGGGGCAAATGAAGATCTGTCTACACTGCCTGTTGAAGGCAACACTAACGCAGAGAAGTTAAATGTCAGTTATGAAAGCGGGGCTCAGTGGTACATGCCTGTAATCCTAGCCACTCAAGAGGCTGAGATCTGAGGATCATAATTCGAAGCTAGCTAGCCATGGCAGAAAAGTCCATGAGACTCTTATCTCCAATTAACCACCCAAAAGCCAGAAGTGGTACTGTGGCTCAAGTCCACCTTGAGCAAAATAATCCAAGTGAGGGCACAAGGCCTTGAGTTCAAGCCCCAATACCGCCCCTCCTGAAAGTCAATTCTGAAAAGCATATTTTCATTAAATAACATCACATCAGAACCTTGAACTTCGTATAATTTAATTTTTGTTTTCAGCAGTAAGTAAATGTTTTAAATGAGTATGCTCTATTAAATTAAATTCCACATACATTCTTCTTTGCAGTTGAAGTAAGGTATTTTTTTGTTTTGCTTTGTTTTTTGTTTTGTTTTTTGCTTTGCTTTTTCCTCCTTTCTTTATAATGGGACACCAAGCCAAATTCAGCCCTGGGTGCCCCTGTGAAACTACCCCAAGATCAGCCACTTCCCAAGAACAAGATAACCTGTGTTCTCCTGGGCACAAACCTAGTCCCTGTGACGGGAGAAGGGGGAGAGAGCTGAGGAGGACTTCAAATATCAGTGAGGACTATCAGGACGTCCTGCTAATAAACGACTTTTTCACTGTCTACACTATAATTGGTTTACAGCCCTTTCTGTTTATTTATCCATAAGAGCCGCTGTTAAATGGCTTGGGAAGGTGCTTGCCTAATGGCTTGGGCCTGTTAGTGGCCAGGAAGGCGGAGGGGCCACAGGCTTGGGGAGATTTGGAGCGGAAACGCATTTCACCTGTAATGGGCTTTGCCAGTTTATGACACCCGGAGCTCTATCCACAGAGAATTACAATACCTGATTTTTTTTTTTTTTTTAATGCCCAGGGCTTGAACTCGGAGCCTGGGCGCTGCTCCTTAGCTTTATTTTTTTTCCTCAAAGTTGACCCTCTACCACTTGAGCCATAGCTCCACTTCCGGGTTTTTTGCTGGTTAATTGAAGAGAAGAGTTTCATGGACTTCTCTGTCTAAGCTGGCTTCGAACCACGATCCTCAAATCTCAGCCTCCTGAGTAAGTTAGAATTACAGGGTAAAACACCCGCTCCTGGATACAACACTCAGTCTTGCTCAGTGAACAGTTCCACTGGATGCGTTTTCCCTATGGACAGATAAGTTGTTCATCAGCCAATCAAAAAATCCCACCAGCTTGGACCTGCATAAGAATGATCATAAGTGGCTGATCTTTGTTCCCTAGCCCCTTAGGGAAGCAGACCTCAGAAAAGGTCAGTGGTGAAAGTTGTGTGCTCCAGCCCACATTTCTCGCCTTATTTTGCTCAGCCAGGCTGCCTGGGGGTTTAGCCGGAGGGCCTTTTTCTGCAAGGCCTAGCAAAAAATAAATAAAATAAAATAAAAGGGAGCTAATGAAGCATCTACATGGAGACCGAGTTCCAGAAATGTGCAATTAGACGAGAAGTGCAAAGTAAACACTCTGGGGGTGGCAGGTGAGGTGGGGAAGAGAGGAGAGGGCTGGGGAGCAGGGGTGTCCAGGAGAGACGAAATGGGGACATGAAGGCGGGGCAGAGCGGGGTGGAGGAGGAGGAGAAAGGTGCAGATCTTTGTCCGCGGAGCTCATGGTCCCCGGCATAACCGCATAACCGCGTCGCCAAGTCAACCCGTGGCGCCTGGGCAGATTATCTCCGAGGGTCAATACGCAGGGACGGGGCACCCCCCCCTCCCCCGGCCCCGTTCTTCCGATCGATGTGGTCACTCGCGGCCCAGGTGATAGCAGCGGTTCTCCGCGGGCCCCGTGAACAATGAACTCATTGACGCGGGCGTGTAGAGATTAGGTGAGCGGGTCCCAAGGCCTTTCACTTCCCGGGGGCCTCCTTGTGCCACACACAGGTGGCCCTTTTCCCTGAGAAATCGCCCCAACTCTCCCTGCCTGCTGGACGTCCCTCGGACGGGCGCTACTTGGTTAGAAACTCGAGCCTCTACCATTATAGCCAAGAGGCTGCCCCACCGCTCCCGGGCCCAGGGGGATGGGGGGCCCACGCCGTGGCCCTCATTCTACACAAGGCGACTTTGAAGACGGGGAGGGGGGGGGGCATCGCTCCACAAGAGAAAAAGAATCTGCAGTCTCCACTGGATTCCTTTTCTTTTCTCTTCATGAAAATGAAGCGCATTCACTAATCTGGTCGTATTTCAAAGAGATCGTTTCCGCAGAAAAAATACATTAAAATCTCCCACGGGATGTGAATTTGTCATTTAGACGAGAAACATTGCAGTGATTTTTTTCCCCCTTCTTGGTTGGCTGCTCATGGTTCCTGCTGTCTTTTGTAGAAGCTTTTCTGCAACGGGGTACAAACTTTCTAAAATCCTCTGTGGCTACTGCCGGGAAGTGATGGCTTCAGGACAGTAGGCTGGCCCTGGCGGCCAGCGCTGTCCGGTCTGCAACCTCGGTCCTGCCCAGGAAAGCGATGGGAGCCATCTCCATCTCCCCTGGGAAGTAGTCTGTCCTCTACAGTAAGTGCACAGGGGGAGGGGAGAGAAGCCACCCTCGGAGGCCAGACTTAGCCTGAGATCAGGGAATCCCAGACACTCATCAAGGATCCAGAAACCAGTGCCAGTCCTCACCCCCCCCCCAACCCCCAGAGTCTCAACCACAAGGACCCTATTTCCTCAACATTATGTGCTCAACTATGTGCTGAGCAAGCAAAGTAGACCCCAATTCTAAAAATCAAAATTAATAAGAACCTTGGGTTTAAGAAAGGAAAAAAAAAATTTTAAGTCTGGCATTGGGGGCTTACTCCTGTAAATCCTAGCTACTCAGGAGGCTGAAGTCTAAGGGCTGTGATTGACAGCCAGCTAGGACAGGAAAGTCTGTGAGACTCTTCAATTAAACAGAAAGGAAAAAAAATTAAAGCTGAAATTAGAGCTGTGGCTCTAAGTGGTAGATCACCAGCCTTGAGCAAAAAATGCTAAGAGACCATGCTCAGACCCTGAGTTCAAGCCACAGTACCAGCACAAATAAATGAATAAACACACAAATAAATAAAAATAGTTTTACAAAGGATTTAAGGCACTGTGATCGCTTCCAAATTTACAGTTTACAAACCAGAAGTACCAGGAGTACAGGTACAGATAAAGCACAATGAATGTGGGATTGTGTGTGCTCCTTCCTTGACGGCATGGGTAATTACAAACAAACTTCATGAATGAAATAGCAGCAACTTGCAACTGAGAAGCTGAAATCTGCAACCGTTTCTTAAAAACGCTTGTGACAGTCTCTTAAAAACGTATAGTCCTAACATGTCTATTTTATTGGGAAACTCGTCTCAGATACAAGGACATGGAAACATTTAAAGTTAGCTGAGGTTCTAGCCCATGAACCCCAGTTCTAAAATTGGTGCACCCACAACACACTCACTGGAAAGCTCAGCCAGCTACGCAAAACAGGCCTCTCAGATAAGAAAGAAACGTAAAAACAAATGCAGGTGCTCTCGGGCTCCTGGGCCTTGCTTGCTTCTTATGGCCAGCAGCTAGGCCAATGATGGCCCCAGGCTGAGCCACGTGGGGCACCTCAGAGCCTATGACGCGCGGCGGCCAGCTCTTCTGTCCCCGCAGGCCCCAGGATCCTCCCCAGGAGAACAGTGGAGACCTGTCAAAGCGCCGGGGGCCCGCGAGGGGAGTGGGAGGGCTCCGCACAGAGCCTCGATCTGGCTGAAAGCTCCCAACTCCTGACTCCTGGTCCCCAGCTCTGGGCTAGCACTATGAATGGTGAGGAGCAGTACTACGCGGCCCCTCAGCTTTACAAGGACCCGTGTGCGTTCCAGAGGGCTCCGGTACCTGAGTTCAGCGCCGGTCCCCCGGCGTGCCTGTACATGGGCCGCCAGCCCCCGCCGCCACCGCCGCCTCCATTCCCTGGCACATTGGGGGCTCTGGAGCAAGGAAGCCCCCCGGACATCTCCCCCTATGAGGTGCCCCCTCTCGCCGACGACCCTGCCCTGGTGCACCTCCACCACCACCTCCCTGCTCAGCTTGCGCTCCCCCACCCGCCCGCCGGGCCCTTCCCGGATGGAACGGAGTCAGGGGTCCTGGAAGAGCCAAGCCGTGTGCAGCTACCTTTCCCGTGGATGAAGTCCACCAAAGCTCACGCGTGGAAAGGCCAGTGGGCAGGTAAGCCTGGCTCTTTACTCCCTTTCTCTTCTTCTCTGGCTGTGGATTCAGCTGCCTGGATCCAGAGAGCGTCCAAGCGCTCCCCGGACGCAATCCAAAACACCGACGTGGAATAAACTATATCCAGGAACCAACGAGGCCATTCTGCAGCAGAAAAAGCCTTTTTGGTCTATTTGGGAGCCTCGTACACACACGCACACACACACATACTTCTGGGAACTGCGATCTTTTCTTTTCTTGTACTTTGAATCCTTCTTAGCTCCAGAATCCCACTGCCCCCGTCCCCCCGCCCCGCCCCCAAAAGCAGAGGCCTACCCAGATTTAGAGCAAGGTCTTTCTTCAACAGGGGATCTAGCACCCCAGGACCCTTGAGTATCATATGCGGGGGGAGGGGGGCGGGAGGGGGAGCAGGATTTCTTTTACCTCTGCCAGAGAAAATCTGAACTCACATTGGCTCACTCCTCCCGACCTGTCCGGGAGAAGAAACTCAAGCTCTCCAGGGACCGCAGGGTAGATGCATAAAGAGGAAAGAAAAAGGAAAAATGTATCCACTCAATTCCCCAAAGTGTCAGGCGGAGAAAGGGGATGGAGCTGTATACAGGGAAGGGACGGCGCAACGCGAGGGGCTCACCAGGCTGAACAGACCAACCGACCGCTGCTCCCCGGAGCCAAGTAGCAGGCCAGGCGCCTGAGATGCTCACGAACTTCTCAAAGATATTCCGGATCCCCTCGCTCGGCTCCAGGAAGTAGGTCTGCAGAGGGAGGGAGGCCTTTCCCGCACAGTTTGCTCCGAGAAGCCGGGTCCCCCCACGGCTCCCTCGATCCTGGGCTCCCACTTGTCACTGCCCTTGCCCGGCGCCGGGAGGCGAGGGCGCCGAGCAAGTCCCAGCTCCCTTTTCCCAATCTTAGAGTGAGTTTCCGGCGGTTTGTGCCCAAGACACAATGTTATCTCTTCCGCACCGCAGCCACTCTGGTCACACCTGTATTGCAAATAATTGCGGTTCTTTCTTTCTTTCTTTCTTTCTTTCTTTCTTTCTTTCTTTCTTTCTTTCTTTCTTTCTTTCTTTCTTTCTTTCTTCTTTTTCTTTGATTTTCTTTCTTTCTTTTCCTCCCCTTTCTCTTCCTCCTCTTCCTCCTCCTCCCCCTCCTCCTCCTGTCGGTGGGAAGAAGCTTGAGCTGGCAGCATCTTGAGAATCCTCAGCCGCCAAGCAAGGCTTTGAACCAGGAAGGGGGATCCGGGCTCGTTCAAGGTCTCAGGGCTCGCCTTGTGCTAGTTCACTTTTCTGCTCATTAGGGCGCACTTTCGGAGATGCGACAGGACCCAGACTAGGCTGTGGTTGTGGCCAGGACCGGCAAAAACTCGACTAATGTCGGTGCCAGATGCAACCACGGCTTCTCGGGTTACCTATCCAGTCAGGAACAAAGACACTGGAGTCTTGGGTCATGGGATTCTGCGTCATCGTCTTATTATTATCATCATCATCATCATCATCATCACTATCGTTTAGTTGTAAAAGGTGATGCCATACAAAAGCAGTTTACGAATGCAATACATCTTTTTAAATTTTTATTTTATTATAAAGATGCTTACAGAGGGGTTACAGTTACCTGCGTAAGGTAATGAGTACTTTTCTTGTCGAATATTGTTACCCCCTACTTTGTTTTCCTCCTACTGTCCCTTGAATGCAATACATCTGGATCAGCATCAACCTGTTCAATATTCTCACCCCCCCCCCTATTCTTCATTTTGTGGTATATACAACGAATTCTTGACTGCATTCTCCTCTCCTTCCCGCCCCCCTTCATATATCTATCCAGCTCCCCTTGGTCCCCAACCTTGGAAGTACCCATTTCTTGATCTTGTTGGGCTTTGACCTAGTCTTTCTAAAAGATTATACTGTTTGAGGTCTCCACTGAGTCTATTATACTTCAGTTAATTCATTTGTAACCATTTATATACTTCCCAATAACGCGGGGTTCTTGGGAGGCGGGAAAACCTGCCTTAGCTGGTTGTTTCCTGAAAAAGACTGCCTTTCCTTCTCCCGGGACTAGGACCCAGGCTGGGACCGTGGCCTGGGACCGTGGCCTCTCCCCAGCTCCGCCCAGTTGGCCTGGGACATCTTTGGGAAAAGGGGATGGAGGAGAGGTGGGTGACTTTTGATCCTTGCCCAAAGCCATGTGGTCCACCGGCTAAACTCCAGAAGCTTTGGGTTTGGAGGCGTCAGTAATCCAGAAAGTAAAATCCACAGGAAAATTAATTACCTTGTCTGGGGTTGAGGAACATTTTGGGAAGGCCATACTCCTAGATTGCAATGTCTAGGTGGAACAGGCCTTTGCCTGACCCCTGCGCTCTCATCCTTGGGGAAAGAGCCAGTCTCTCCGCGCGCACCCCACCGCCCACCCCTGGCTGTTTTAAGGGCTCTGGTGTTGTCTCCTAGGTCCTTCAGGGAAACTTTCCAAAGAGGGGAGCTTAAAGGGTTTGGGGAGAGATCCACCTGCGGTGCTTTGTAGGATTTCACACCCCCTGGGAGGAGCAACGTGATCAAAGGACTCTCAGGGCTCGGTAGAAATACCAAGCACTGGTGACATTAGAGACTAATGAAAACCTTGATCTGACCGAGCTGAGCCACTGACGTCGCCTAGTGTCTCCGCGAATGGCCCGGATTGGGGACCCACCAACAGCCTCCACCCCCAACTTCCAACTCTTGTCCTGACCACCTGGGCACACGCTTGCTTCAGAGCAGTGGAGCCCCTGTAGCCTCTCAGGGAAACCCCACAGGTCTGCACAAGAGCCGAGCCCGAAGGAATTAGAATTGAGTCAAACAACCTTTTTATACTTCCTCCCAAAGGCTGGTTGGGCCTCTCCCCCAGGACAGGGAAGACTTGGAGATGCTCTCCCCGGATCAGGACGATGCCACTAACGAAAAGGCCTCTCTGCCTCGGCTTAGGGCGCTTCCTCTCTGCCCGAGGAGAAACTTGGGCAGGGCCAGTGCGAAATGTATCCTTCGCCCTCCCCACACACTTGACTTTCAGTTCCTGGAGAAGTATCCCCTACCTCTGTCCTGAAACACAGCGAGTTAAGTCTCTTAACCAGAAATTTGCTGAAGCTTCAATACCAGCAATCACAGCCCGAGTGCAGGTGGTACTTAGCACCGAAAAGATGGGGGGGGGGGGCCGAGAAGGAAGAGAGGGAGAGGGAGAAAGGGAGAGAGGGAGAGAGGGAGAGCGCGCGCTCAGTGGCAAACAGCGTAGGGCCCTCACACTTTCCTTACTCGGGCTTACTGGAGGCAGGAATTTGGGCGGGGAGCCACCGGACCCCCTGAAGGACTGGTTTCTACCCTACCCCTTTCTTTGCTGGATTCTGAGACCCGCAGCAGGCTCTGGCCGGCCTCAGTATCATCACTCTTTCGGCCTCCGCCAGCATTTGGGGCACCGGGCACTGAATCTGAGACTATCCGGGTCCCCGCCAAACGGTGATCTTCTCACAAAAGCATTCCTTCTCCACGCAGACAGGGAAAGGACAAAGATTCAACTAACAATAATAGAGAATTTGCCACTTCTCAAGATGAGATTCATGATCATTTAACTTATAAACTCTACATGTTTCTCTAGAAAGAGAAAGAATACAAAATGGATGGATATATAATAACAAAAAAAATGTGTCTTAACTTGTCTTAATGCAGGGATTTTCAAACTGCCACCCATTAGTAGATGATGAATTCAGTCACTGGATTTAGATGGTTACTGTTTGAATCAAATGGTGAACAAAGGAGGGAAATAATATACTTGCTAAATATCCGTGTTGAAATGCTCACCAGTTACATGTCCATGTAGAGAATGAATAGGCATCTAAAATGTTTTCTTTTTCTTTTTCTTTATTTCTCTTTCTTTTCTTTTCTCTCTTTTCTTTTTTGTGCCAGTCTGGGGCTTGAACTCGGGACCTAGGTGCTGTCTTGAGCTTCCCTCCTCCCCCCTCAAAGCTAGCACTCTGCCATTTGAGCTCCGCTTCCAACTTTTTGGAAGTTCATCAGAGATTAAAGTTTCACAGACTTTCTTGTCTGGGCTGGCTTCAGACAGCGATCCTTAGACCTCAGCCTCCTGAGTAGCTAGGATCGCAATGAAAGCCACTGGTGCCTAGCTAAAATGTTTTTCTTACTGGGAAAGTTTTGTTTTTGAGTACTGTGTTAAAGGCGCTTTATTGCCTACATAGAATTGATTCAATGTCAAATGTATAGTCTGTGCATTATAATTAGCCTCAGCCCGAATACCTGTTGAATGAGCCCATGAATGGTTCACAGTAAGAGCCTGAACAGCTTTGGCCTCCAAGAAATAGGTCAGCGTGCACCTCCATTGGGCTCTGGGACAAGAGGCTGGGATTCAGTGGCTCTAGTGACAGCAGCTGGGGGACTATAGCTCTCCGAGCAGGGATTAAAGGGATGGACTGCGTGGGGTGGGCTAGATCGGGGTCCTTCGGCCACACTCACGGACTGTGTCTCCCCGCAGGCAGCGCCTATGCGGCGGAGCCGGAGGAGAACAAGCGAACGCGCACAGCCTATACGCGCTCGCAGTTGCTGGAGCTGGAGAAGGAGTTTCTGTTCAACAAGTACATCTCCCGGCCACGCCGAGTGGAGTTGGCAGTGATGCTGAACTTGACCGAGAGACACATCAAGATCTGGTTCCAGAACCGACGCATGAAGTGGAAAAAGGAGGAGGACAAGAAGCGAGGTGGTGGGACTGGCGCCGGCAGTGGCGGAGGAGCGGAGCCCGAGCAGGACTGCGTTGTGACTTCGGGCGAGGAGCTGTTGGCACTACCGCCGCCTCCACCTCCGGGCGGTGCTGTGCCACCGAGTGCTCCCGCAGCCGCCCGAGAGGGGCGCTTGCCGCCGGGCCTTAGCACGTCGCCACAGCCCTCCAACGTGGCGCCCCAGCGGCCGCAGGAACCGCACTGAGAGACCGGGGCTGCACACTGCCCCGCAGGTTGGACCAGACCACAAGCGGAGGAGGGGGTTCGGGCCAGGGACCCTGGGTATGGACATGGGCCGGGCAGTTGGATAGGGTACGTACTTTGGGGCCCAACCTAGACGCTCACAGGGAGAACCCGTTCTTCCAGGCGTGTGTGCCAATCGGGGTGCGGCCCAGGAGATGCTGGCAGGGTTTCTGGAAAAAAAGAAACAGAGGTTTCCGAAATATTTACAGCCTGCTCTGGTGACATGATCAGAATAGTGATGTCCATCTTGGTTCCTATTCAAGAAGCTGACTATTCGGGTCAACGGGAAATGTACAAAACGCAATGCGCTGGGCAGAAGAACTGGACTGGGTGCCCAGAAACGTGGTGGCCCTCGTACTCAGGCGACCAATTGATGTTTTAAAATAGTTAAAAGGAAATCCATGAAATTAAAAGGAATTTCAGATTGAAATTGATCCTATGAAGTAGAATGAGTCCTTCTACTCATTCTTCCTCCTCTTCTTCTCCTTTCTCTCCTCTAGCCAGATTTGTTAGCGGACACTTTTTCAAACTGCACCCCTTTCCTCTGAAGAAAATTCCTTCAAAGCTGCCGGGACTGTGGACTCTGGATGATGAAGAAACTAAAGGTATTCAGAGCATTCTGTTTAGGATGTGGATTTCATGTGGGTCGTGACTGAGTTGAAGGCAAACATCTCACACCAGTGACCTAGTTTAACTTGGAAACTAACATCTGTCTGATTCTTACATCTTTAGCAAGGATGAAAATGTACATGATATGAAGGTTTGGGGAAAATGGTTGTTTTCATTTGTTTATTTAATGACCAAACAGCTCTTTACAAACAGCTTTGTAGTTTCCAGGTCAGTTGCTCCATTCAAGGTGTGGGCCTTGCATTCAGGCTGTGTTTATGGAAAAAAAAAAACTAATAAATACAAATAACATAAGAGACAGTGAGACTTGATTCTCCTTTTTTTTCCCCTCAGTACTAACCACAGAAAAACATGTAAACATCACACGTAGGTTTTGAGATGGGGTTGGTGTATGGTTGCAGTGTTTGTGTTTTTTGTTTTATTTTAAAATCTATTTTGAGATGATTTTCTCAGGCATGACAGCCTAGAGCTTCAGAAGTTCCCAGTTGCTGATGTCTAACACTGACTGAAGCCATAGCCAAGAGCAGCCCGCCAGACCTTCTCTTCCATTCACCCCATAGCTGCACACTTTGGTGTGCTTTGGTCTCTGACTCCAGGGTAGGTGTTAGATCAAAGGTGTCTGGACATTGTCCAAACTGTGGGTTTCTGACCCCAGGAGCCATCCAGTTCCTGCCCTCTGGAAGGCACTTTGGCCCTATAAGAACCACATATCTCCTGAACACTCCTGCGGCTCCTGCTTGGAGTCATTACTTTTATCTTCTTTTATACAGAGAGACACTGGGCATTTTTGTTTTGTTTGCTTCTCAAAGAAATTTAATCACAACCCCATTGAGAGAAGTCTTGTGGATCAAAAATGTAACTTTCTCACAGTGAGCATCCAGGCAGTCTCTAGAATGAAACACATCTATGTTGGAACCCAGGGACCTTCAAATATTGGTCCATTACCTCGATAAAAGTATTCAAGCTCTCTACACCTTATTTTTCTTCTGCATCAAAGTGGAAGCAAATTTTGTACCACCTCTTGAATTAGCTGTGAAGTTTAAATCAAAGAATACCGCTGGTTGCCAGAAGCTTACATATTTGATCCCAACTACTCAGGAGGCTGAGGTCTAGAGGATAGCAGTTTGAAGTCGATCTTGGCAGAAAAAATTCTCATCTCCAATGTAGTAGCAAAATGCCACACGGGAGGTGTGGCTCAAGTGATAGATCAGTGGCCACGAGCAAGAAAGCCAAGACAGAGTGTTCAAGCCCCACTACCGACAAAATAATAATAATAATAATCTCCCAATTCATTAGCTAGATAGCAGTCTTCCCTCCACAATTATTATTGTTCTATGACCATCATCACCATTAATCAGAAGACAAGTCCTTACTGTTAATCTGATTCCGGAACGTGTACCCACCCTAGGTGAGCACTGCCGGTCTGATTGTAATGTTTCCTTATACATAAGTTCCTTTGTTTCCCTCACCTGGTGGGTCTTGCTGGAGCTTTGGTGTCCAGTTGGACAGGACCTATCCTCTCGAGCGCCAAGAAGGAATTTGGGCTGCAAATCCAACCCACTTCCTGCCCTGTGCAGGGCGAGGCTCCCAGTCTGTCTTAGCGCGCGCTGGTGGCGCTGCGTCTTTGGCTGGGGCCTGAGCGAGCGCCGCCCCCCCCCCCCATCCCCGCCCAGCCAGGCTCTGCCCGAGGCGCCCACTCGCCCGCGTGCACCGCCACAGCCCTGAGCTACCAGCCCCAACGTTCCTCTTGTCATCTTCAGCCCCGTGCCAGGTCCGTGCGTGGAGTGGCGCGCCTCTGGGTGATGCACGATCGCCAGCGCTCCCGGCGCGCGCGCGCGCTACTGCCCGCACGTCCCGGCTCGGCCACAGTTGCGGAGCCCTGGGAAATCGCGCCCTGGGTCTTCACTGCACACGGGCTCACACTTCACACGCAAGCCACTGAAAAAATGGGAGTTATGGTGGAGAACTAGCGAGAGCACCCCTGTGTGCGGTGGAGGCGCGGGAGGGGAGGGTCAGGCGGAGCTCAGAAGACATCCTGGGAGCTTCTTGAAGTCCTACTGGTCCCCAGCCCCAGTCTGGGAAGCAGAGTCTATCACATAGCATCTAAAGTGGATCGGAAACAAAAAGCCTCTTATTCCCCCGATTTATTATTTCTTCCTGAGGATAGGCTATCAAGTACTCAAGTTCTCATGTCAGGCTCAACCCATACTGCACAATAAGAACATCTCAGAGGCGGTGGCGGCGGTGTGTACGCACGCACTAGCTAGTACTACTGTTTGAAATTAGAGGCCGGAGCACTGTTCCTTAGCATTTTCAGCTCAAGGCTGATGTTCTAACACTTGAGCCACAACTCGACTTCTGGTCCTTTTTTAGTGGTTCATTGAGTCTCAGGGACTTTACTGACCTGGCTGGCTTCAAACTGTGATCCTCAATTCTCAGCCTTCGAAGCAGCTAAGATTACAAGGCACAAGCCACTGGTGCCCAGCTATCTATCTTTAGAAGGATACAGAATGAAACTTTGGTAGAAGCTGACAGATTCTTATAGCACTGAATATGGAATTTTAACATATTTTTGCTGACAGTCCTAGGGCTTGAACTCAGGGCCTAAACACTGTCCTTTAGCTCCCCCCCCCCCCAAGGCTAGAACTCTACCACTTGAGCCACCGGCTTTTTGTAGGTTTCCTGCCTGAACTGGCTTTGACTATGATCCTCAGATCCCAACCTCCTTTGTAGCTAGGATTACAGGCAGGAACCACCAGTGGCAGGCTTAAATCATTTCTAAGAAAAATTTAGCTCACAACTAAAATATTTTGTAACTTTATCAGCTTCACCTGTAAACCTCCTTGAATATTAGGTCATTTAGGAAAGTCAGATGAAGTATATCCTCAGTTAACATCAAATCAAATTTTATTCCAGTCTAGCTCTGACAAGCTAGATTTTGGAAAACAATAGAGGTAATAAAAGTTTAATGCTAATGGCTCACTCCTATAACTCTAGCTACTTAGAAGGCTGAGAACTGGAGGATCAAGCCTGGATAGGAAAGTTCACAGAACTCGATTCCAGTTAACTAGCAAAAACAAGCCCTGGGACCCCTAAAAGAATGACAAACTGAGCCATGGTAGCAGAAGCAAAAAGGTGTTCCTGAAAACAACCTGAGAATGAAGCAGTGTCTCCGCAGATCTTGACCAGCCTTCTGGAAATTGGTATCTGTAGACAGACAGCTTGATGCAGGGAAAGAGGTCAGCAGGAAGTTGAGTAAGAAGGAGAGATCAAACTCTGCAAACAATGGCTCTAAAGAGTGAAAGTGGCTTGCTGATATGCGCCAAGTCTTTGGCTAGTAATCAATAACCTGTCAATGACAAGTTCCCATAGTAAAGTATATTTGCATATCTATGAGATGGGAAAAGCATGGTAAACTCTATTGTTACTTGTCCTTCTATTTTTTCCCCTTCAGGCTGCTGTGTAGCTAGACACTTGTCTAGCTTGCATAATGCCCTGGCTTCCATCCAGTACAATACACATCCTTTTCTCCATCAATGAGATGCCCTGGCTTTTGAAAAGATAGGCACATCTAATTTTAAGCAGTATTTTATCAATTCAAGTTGAATTGCATTAACCCTTGTATAAAGGATAAAGACACATTAGATACATATCATGTCAACAATATTCAAGATTCTTGTCTGAATTATGGAGTATACTGTATATTCATTTCTAGTGATTATTATTATTATTATTATTATTATTGTGACAGTACTGGGGCTTCAATTCAGGACCTCATTTTTTTCCCCTCAAGGCTGGTGCACTACTTGAACCACAGCTCCACCTCCAGATTTTTTGGTGGTTAGTCCATGGACTAGCTTTGAACTTGAACCACAATCCTCAGATCTCAGCCTCCTGAACAGCTAGAAATACAGATGTGAGCCATTGACACCTGGGTTCTAGTAATAAGCATAACAAAATTTGATGTAACATTATTTAAATCTGCTCTACTCTTTCCCTGAAGTCCCATTTCTCCTGATTTCTGAAGGTATGGGGTTATGAAAAATCATAAAAATCTGTTTGAACATACACTAAAACACTTAAGTCTGGAGATGCGGCCATTTCCCAAAGTGATGCCACATCGTCTTGAAATTGATGTATCTATTTATTTCTACTTCAACTAGCTCTGTAAAACCATAAAAGCTATAAAATAAATCTCTAAAAATTAAGCAAATTGAAAACACTGTAGTTTGGATTTATTGTAATAAATACATGTATAATTTATTTGGGTTTAATGCTGAAAGAGTAAGTTTCTAGACCAGAGTATAATAAGAGCAGATTATTTCTCCTTTTTTT